AGGATCGGACGCAGACACAGTGGCAAGGCACAAAGTCGAAGTCTTGGATTCCCGAATGCCGAAAACAGCAAGTCACACTGAGTACGAGTACAGCAGCAGAGAACTGGTACGAGACTGGTCCCCGTACCGTACGGGAGCCGGTATAAGTACCGGTGACACGTACGGTACTAGGGGCATTTCTGCAAAGGCCCCGAGGGCAGAAYTGAAAAATGCAGTATTTGGAAGTGGCGCCCGAATTGCAGCATGGCGCCAGTTGTCCAAAATCCTGCGGTACCAAAGGAGGGGTTTGGAAAAAGGGTGCTAGGCCGAAAACGGGATGCAGCTGAAATAGCAAAAAGATAGACCAGGGATCGAGCTTCTCCAAGACCTGCCTTAGATGACCCTCATGCTCCTGGAGGGTCCTACTGAACACCACAATATCAAGTAGACTACTACAAATCTGTCTAACCACGGCCTAAACAAGTCATTCATACAACGCTGAAAAGTCGCTGGCGCGTTGGTTAGTCCAAAGGGCATAACTATAAACTCGTAGTGCCCATATCTAGTCCGGAATGCAGTCTTACACTGGTCATCAGGATGGACCTCTATCTGATGATGTCCGAACTTCAAGTCTATCTTTGAAAAATACTTGCAACCCTGCACCCGATCTAAAAGATCATCTATACGGGGCAGAGGTTCCGTGTCCTTCACGCTAATAGCATTAAGACCCCTATAGTCAATGCACATTCTAAGCTCTCCCTCCTTCGGGACAAATAGAATAGGTGCTCCAAATGGAGATGAACTGGGCCTAATCCAACCCTTCTAAGGAGTTCATCTAACTGCTTGTGCAGTTCCTCCAATTCCCATGCGGACATCCTATACACTGCTCCTTTAAGAGTCCTACTGCCAGGCTCTATCTCAATGCGGTGCTGGATGGGCCGCGTGACTACCCCTGTAGGTGGCTTAGCTAGATCTGTATATTCTTCCAGCAACTTGGCAGTAGCGGGATCTGTGGACTTTTCCTCTTTAGGCTCAGTAACTGGCCTAGCATAGGCTACAAAAACCTGTTCTTCTAGCTGCTCCTTCTTCACTAACCTCGTGAACGCAGGAGCGCTAAGGCAGCAATGTGCTAGGGAGTTGTCTACTCCAGACACATGAAACAGACGGGACGTCTTGACCCCGCCTGACGGACTAGGGAGCCTACACTCGTGCTCTCGCAGATGGAGTGTGGCCCCGACTGCCTCTCCCCAGTCCATCCCTAGGACTATATCGAAAGGAAGGTTGTCCTCTACGAGGAGAGTCAGAGAATGAAGAACTTTCTCCACCTTCCCATGTTTCTCTAGGCGAAAGTATGCCTGGACTCCCTCTACATAATTCTCTACTCGCATCGTGCGATTGTCTGCGAGGATACTCACTATGAGGTCTGCTAACTTCCAGACCTTTAGCCCCAACTTCAACTTCTGGTGCGCCTTTCTATTGATATAGCTGCGCGTGGCCCCACTATCTACTAGGGCCCCTACTCTACCTCTGAAAATCTCTACATCTACTAAAACCAGTGTTGTCACACGGGGATCCTCGGGGCCCAAGCCGGGGTAGGGGTTTCACCCCCGCAACCCCGTCGAGGGGATCCCCGAACCCCGGCCCCTCCAAATTACCCCC